ACTTTGAATTGTCGTTAAACTAACATAGTTAACAAGGGACGTTATTAATTACCACTACTTTTACTATCTGAATTTCTCTAAACCTGATGAATTAATTCAGGGGAAGGCTGTAGCACTCGTGCCTGCCTCACTCCCCTGCTAATATCTCGGGACACCCTTATCTTGAGAGCCTTTCTGGGAACAGCTTAGGTACAAACTCCCCTGAAACTCCAAAACCTAGATAATCCCTGTCTACAATACTATACAAGGTCTCTAAGCTTCTAAAACAGCTTAGACTGTTACAGCTCTCTTGATCAAATGTTTAGGTAACATTGTTTTTAATCTAAAACACGATGTTTATTATCCTAATCCGTTACATTACAAAGAAAAATTTTACCAAATGCCTAAAAAAGAAAGTCTACCGTTCCTTAAAATCACAACAATGATTTAGATTTGCAATTTAACATTGTGATGCAATGTTAGGGGTGGACGAAGGGGAGGGGGAAGAGGGGAGGGTGTGGACGAGGGGAGGGTGGACGAGGGGAGGGTGGACGAGGGGAGGGTGGACGAGGGGGAGGGTGGACGAGGGGAGGGTGGACGAGGGGGAGGGTGGACGAGGGGAGGGTGGACGAGGGGAGGGTGGACGAGGGGAGGGTGGACGAGGGGGAGGGTGGACGAGGGGAGGGTGGACGAGGGGGAGGGTGGACGAGGGGAGGGTGGACGAGGGGAGGGTGGCCAGCGCACCAACAATACTCATATTAACGGTTCAGACAACATCACAATAATTCCGACAAAACCTGTTATCAACTTGAGGACCCAACTTGAGGCCGCCTGTCACAGATAACTGTACCTCAGATGTCCTGTCATGTGAGTTGTGGGAGCGTGTCTCCCGGGGTGGTGGCTCCCGCTTAACAACTCTGCCACAATACATGAAGGCCACTATTGTAGCACAATACATGAAGGCCACTATTGTAGCACAATACATGAAGGGCACTATTGTAGCACAATACATGAAGGCCACTATTGTAGCACAATACATGAAGGCCACTATTGTAGCACAATACATGAAGGCCACTATTGTAGCACAATACATGAAGGGCACTATTGTAGCACAATACATGAAGGGCACTATTGTAGCACAATACATGAAGGGCACTATTGTAGCACAATACATGAAGGCCACTATTGTAGCACAATACATGAAGGCCACTATTGTAGCACAATACATGAAGGCCACTATTGTAGCACAATACATGAAGGCCACTATTGTAGCACAATACATGAAGGCCACTATTGTAGCACAATACATGATGGCCACTATTGTAGCACAATACATGAAGGCCACTATTGTAGCACAATACATGAAGGGCACTATTGTAGCACAATACATGAAGGCCACTATTGTAGCACAATACATGATGGCCACTATTGTAGCACAATACATGAAGGCCACTATTGTAGCACAATACATGATGGCCACTATTGTAGCACAATACATGAAGGCCACTATTGTAGCACAATACATGAAGGGCACTATTGTAGCACAATACATGATGGCCACTATTGTAGCACAATACATGATGGCCACTATTGTAGCACAATACATGAAGGGCACTATTGTAGCACAATACATGATGGCCACTATTGTAGCACAATACATGAAGGCCACTATTGTAGCACAATACATGAAGGGCACTATTGTAGCACAATACATGAAGGGCACTATTGTAGCACAATACATGAAGGGCACTATTGTAGCACAATACATGAAGGGCACTATTGTAGCACAATACATGAAGGCCACTATTGTAGCACAATACATGAAGGGCACTATTGTAGCACAATACATGAAGGGAACTATTGTAGCACAATACATGAAGGCCACTATTGTAGTACAATACATGAAGGCCACTATTGTAGCACAATACATGAAGGGCACTATTGTAGCACAATACATGATGGCCACTATTGTAGCATAATACATGATGGCCACTATTGTAGCACAATACATGAAGGCCACTATTGTAGCACAATACATGAAGGGCACTATTGTAGCACAATACATGAAGGCCACTATTGTAGCACAATACATGATGGCCACTATTGTAGCACAATACATGAAGGCCACTATTGTAGCACAATACATGATGGCCACTATTGTAGCACAATACATGAAGGGCAGTATTGTAGCACAATACATGAAGGCCACTATTGTAGCACAATACATGAAGGCCACTATTGTAGCACAATACATAATGGCCACTATTGTAGCACAATACATGAAGGGCACTATTGTAGCACAATACATGATGGCCACTATTGTAGCACAATACATGATGGCCACTATTGTAGCACAATACATGATGGCCACTATTGTAGCACAATACATGAAGGGAAGTATTGTAGCACAATACATGAAGGGCAGTATTGTAGCACAATACATGAAGGCCACTATTGTAGCACAATACATGAAGGCCACTATTGTAGCACAATACATGAAGGGCAGTATTGTAGCACAATACATGAAGGGCAGTATTGTAGCACAATACATGAAGGGCACTATTGTAGCACAATACATGAAGGCCACTATTGTAGCACAATACATGATGGCCACTATTGTAGCACAATACATGATGGCCACTATTGTAGCACAATACATGAAGGGCAGTATTGTAGCACAATACATGAAGGCCACTATTGTAGCACAATACATGAAGGGCAGTATTGTAGCACAATACATGATGGCCACTATTGTAGCACAATACATGATGGCCACTATTGTAGCACAATACATGATGGCCACTATTGTAGCACAATACATGAAGGGCACTATTGTAGCACAATACATGAAGGGCACTATTGTAGCACAATACATGAAGGGCACTATTGTAGCACAATACATGAAGGCCACTATTGTAGCACAATACATGATGGCCACTATTGTAGCACAATACATGATGGCCACTATTGTAGCACAATACATGAAGGCCACTATTGTAGCACAATACATGATGGCCACTATTGTAGCACAATACATGAAGGGCACTATTGTAGCACAATACATGAAGGGCACTATTGTAGCACAATACATGATGGCCACTATTGTAGCACAATACATGAAGGGCACTATTGTAGCACAATACATGAAGGCCACTATTGTAGCACAATACATGAAGGGCACTATTGTAGCACAATACATGAAGGCCACTATTGTAGCACAATACATGAAGGGCAGTATTGTAGCACAATACATGATGGCTGTATCACAACACAGGGAGGAGGTATCCTAGATGTATCCTGGATACATGCACCGTAGCAATACCCGGATGGTTGGATGGTTATAAACTCACAGGTAGGAAAGATCGTCTAAACAAAAATTTGGACACTTGTTCTGCGTTGATGCGAAGGTAGGACAACGAGGCTGTTGAGGTTGGGTCGGTGCATTGATGTTGCAGACATGAACCGTGATGGTCTGCCAGCGTATGTAAATCCCTGGAGCAATTCTCTGTGGCCAAACATAATTTTCCATTAATATTTATCTCCGGCCAATTACCTTGGCTGGTGAGAGCTTGTCCTCAGAGAGAAACTGCCTTGTAACTTCTGTTTGAAGTTAGTAGTTGACTGTATTGCTGAAACTGTAGCCGACATTATTTCTCTAGCTGTATTGTAGTGCTGTAATTGCAACATATTCAACAGACCTGAGAGTTCCCTAGCATCCAATACCTGAAATTGTCGTTGATTTTTCGTCCAAGAAACAAATACAAATAGTAGGTATTTTTTTTAATATTTTCTATGCCAGGATCATGTTTGGTTTCGTAATCCTGGGACCTGTTGCTCACCTCAGGGATCACTGCACTAACTCACTAAGGAACACCTACACCTCTGGACCTGTTGCTCACCTCAGGGATCACTGCTCTAATTCAATAAGGAACACCTACACCTCTGGACCTGCTGCTCACCTCAGAGATCACTGCACTAACTCACTAAGGAACACCTACACCTCTGGACCTGCTGCTCGCCTCAGAGATCACTGCTCTAATTCACTAAGGAACACCTACACCTCTGGACCTGCTGCTCGCCTCAGAGATCACTGCTCTAATTCACTAAGGAACACCTACACCTCTGGACCTGCTGCTCACCTCAGAGATCACTGCTCTAACTCACTAAGGAACACCTACACCTCTTCTCTGTGTAACGACTTGTATAATTTGTTAGGAATAATGTTAATGTTTCTGGCTCTGATAATATACACTGAAAATAGTACTTTAGGTCTGACCCCCATGTTCAGGACTATAGTTCAGGACTATAGTTCAGGACTATAGTTCAGGACTATAGTTTGCTTGCTGGCAGGTCGGAAATAGGCCTCCCTCGATGATAGGCCTTGAACCCAGCACTATACCAGCCTTCTCACAGTAGTCGTGGGCAAGTATTTCACCGTAGACGGCTGCACCTGTTCACCGTTGTACTATCTATATGTGGAATCACTCGTATTACTGTAATATTGAAGTTTTCTCACGTTAGTTCATCAATAATGAAGCCACTTGAGCTGGACGGTAGAGCGACGGTCTCGCTTGATGCAGGTCGGCGTTCAATCCCCCACCGTTCAAGTGGTTGGGCACCATTCCTTCCCCATGACCCATCCCAAACCCATATCCTGACCCCTTCCCAGTGGTATATTGTCACAATAGCATGGCATTTTTCCCCTTGATAATTATATCACCTTACCCCATCAATGGTGACAAAACGGACTTGTAAAACCCTATACAAGTGCTCCTTATGATATATATGTCGAAGAGTTATAAGTTACAATGATGAGCATTGTCTCTTGACACAAATATATTTATGAACAAAAATGTAATATAATCAAAATAAAATGTAAATAAATAGATAAGCAGGAAAATATATAATCAGAATAAATTATAATCAGGAATGGTTAACATCTGAAGGTCACTGAACCTCTGAACGTTGACTTAAGCAGACTCACTATTTATTTGTCTGAGAAAATATACGTTCAGAAGTGTTCATGGAAAGTCAGAGAGTCCCACTGGAGAGTCCCACTGGAGAGTCCCACTGGAGAGTCCCACTGGAGAGTCCCGCTGGAGAGTCCCACTGGAGAGTCCCGCTGGAGAGTCCAACTGGAGAGTCCCGCTGGAGGGTCGCGCTGGAGGGTCCCGCTGGAGGGTCCCGCTGGAAGGTCCCGCTGGAGGGTCCCGCTGGAGGATCCCGCTGGAGGGTCCCGCTGGAGGGTCGCGCTGGAGGATCCCGCTGGAGGGTCGCGCTGGAGGGTCCCGCTGGAGGATCCCGCTGGAGGGTCGCGCTGGAGGGTCCCGCTGGAGGATCCCGCTGGAGGGTCGCGCTGGAGGGTCCCGCTGGAGGGTCGCGCTGGAGGGTCCCGCTGGAGGGTCCCGCTGGAAGGTCCCGCTGGAGGGTCCCGCTGGAGGGTCCCGCTGGAGAGTCCCCGCTGGAGGGTCCCGCTGGAGGGTCCCGCTGGAGGGTCAATTCTTAGCTCCTTTATACACAAAGTTTACCGTTCAGTACCTTTTCTTAATCCTTATAGACCACAGGTGCTCTATAAGGCCTGGAGCATCTGTGTTCTATAAGGCCTGGAGTACCTGTGCTCTATAAGGCCTGGAGCACCTGTGCTCTATATATAAGGCCTGGAGCATCTGTGTTCTATAAGGCCTGGAGCACCTGTGCTCTATAAGGCCTGGAGCACCTGTGCTCCAGGCCTCCAGAGAGGGCCTCGGCCTCGGGTGAGTGAGCTTCAACATCAACAGAGGCAGTATCATGGGCAGATAAGAAGCGGAGGTCAGGTGACGAATAAGCTTGTGCTGGTGCTGGAGAAGTTTGCATGAGTCAGTTGAGACGTCATGTTGAGGAGGCATAGGAGCGCCTGGAGTGGCAGCGTGCAGAGGTGGTGCAGGAGGTGTAGCAGGGGAGGTGGTGCAGGAGCTGTAGCAGGGGAGGTGGTGCAGGAGCTGTAGCAGGGGAGGTGGTGCAGGGGGTGTAGCAGGGGAGGTGGTGCAGGAGCTGTAGCAGGGGCCGAGGGTGGGCGTCAGCAGGGAGGAGATCTGCCTGTGCACCTGGAGAGATAGTGATGTCAGAGGATAATTTTCAGAGGCAGAAAGTCAGAGGCATTACGATGTCAGCCACTAATATTAGTGGCTGAAGTCGTAGCGGTGGCAATGGTTGATGCTGTAGTCGTGAGGAGTTCCTCGGGAACTTCAAACGTCGGTAGACCATTAGCAGCGTAGAATATGTCTAGAAGTCGTACGAATACCTTGTAGTTCGTGCTTGCATAATTTCCGCCAAGCGTGTAAGTTCAGAGACGGTACTATGAACGGTGTTGGGACCAGCTACTAGTATGATAAAGGCTGGCTTGATGATTGGCCAGAGAGAGGTTGTGGCTGAGTCGATGATTGGTTGGCGGACTGGGAGCTAGGCCCCATTGGCTGGCTGGCTGCATGGTAGCTCCTGCACCACCCAGAAGCTCCGGGAAGTGGGCGGCTTGCACGTTGACAGTTGTTGGTGCACTGCGAGTGGTGTTGACCCGCCTGGCGTCGGACATGTTGATTTCTGCAAGTCTTCGGGAGCACTCAGCGGAGACGGCAGTGTGTTCACCTTGACAGTGATGGCTGTGGAGAAGTGGTTGGTGCAGTCTGCGAAGTGGTGGTTCCCGGCACACTTGCCGCACCGTTGGTCCATTCCAATGGACCAACGCTCTTTAAGTGCTGGTCCGTTGGAATGCACTTAAGGAGCAGGTTGTGGAAGCAAACTTTATTCATAATTTTAAAACTAGATGTGGTAGGGAAATGGGACCGGAGTCATTACTGTGAACAACCGATGGTTAGAAAGGCGGGATCCAAGAGTCAATGCTCGACCCTGCAGGTAGAAATAGGCGAGTACAAATAGGTGAGTATACACACACACACACAGGAGGTTAATTAAGCCTTTTGAGCAACAAGACTTCCCCCCCCTTATTACCCCCCAACAGCCACCTGTGTGTCCTGGGGTAATTAGCCTCGCGCCTCTAAGTCATCGCTGACTTTCACCTGTAATTCACCGATTATATTTGTAAATATTTTGAACAATATCACTAAAAACAAATCTGGAGGTACCTTAAGTGTATCGTATGTGCTTCAGTGTATCGTATGTGCTTCAGTGTATCGTATGTGCTTCAGTGTATCGTATGTGCTTCAGTGTATCGTATGTGCTTAAGTGTATCGTATGTGCTTCAGTGTATCGTATGTGCTTCAGTGTATCGTATGTGCTTCAGTGTATCGTATGTGCTTAAGTGTATCGTATGTGCTTCAGTGTATCGTATGTGCTTCAGTGTATCGTATGTGTTTCAGTGTATCGTATGTGCTTCAGTGTATTGTATGTATTTAAAGAGCATAAACCTAACTTTGAAACCAATCTATTAAGCGCATTATATTACATCATCAAAGTCAACCTTGAGAGGTTTCGCCAGAATAATACCCAGGCAGAGCTTAGAACAGTATGGCTGCTTACAAGCTGATTCTTCTTCTTCTTCTTCTTCTTCTTCTTCTCCTCCTTCTTCTTCTCCTCCTTCTTCTTCTTCTCCTTCTTCTTCTCCTCCTCCTTCTTCTTCTTCTCCTTCTTCTTCTTCTCCTTCTTCTTCTTCTTCTCCTTCTTCTTCTTCTTCTTCTCCCTTCTTCTTCTTCTCCTTCTCCTTCTTCTTCTTTCTCCTTCTTCTTCTTCTTCTTCTTCTTCTTCTTCTTCTTCTTCTTCTTCTTCTTCTTCTTCTTCTTCTTCTTCTTATTATTATTATTATTATTATTATTATTATTATTTTCTACCACAGATGTGGCCACATATTTACAATGCTAACCAGCATATATACATTTTCTTCTGTCCTCCATGGACAGGGTTAGAGATCTGTTAAATATATAGTTCAGTGATTTATTGAACAATCAACCACAGAAGGTGATTGTAGAGCTTTTAAAATGCTAATCTTGTCTACATACATAAATATATTGATTTACGTCTCTCCTGCATAAACAGCGTTTGAGGTATGTCTTTTTACAATATAATGTGATTAATGTATGTTTACACAGATGTAGTTCTGACCAGTTTACACAAACTGTATGTGCACATGCATACATATGTGCGTAACGCTTGCATGGTCCGCCTATCTAACATACATCCGAAATCTCTTGACCCCTGAAGGACTCGAACCCGGCCAGCCAGGGTCCCCATGTCCTCCAGCAGTCCAGTGCTGTAACCACTCAGCCACTGAGGGCTGTAACCACTTCCCAAAAGTATTGGGAAGTGGTGAGATCTAGATGCATCCAACACCCGGCAACACTCGTGGCATTACTTCCCAATACTTTTAGTCAGTCGTTGGCTGAGTGGTTACAACCCTGGACTGGTGGGGCCATGGAGACCCGGGTTCGAGTCCTTAACGGGTGAAGAGTTGTCGGAGATATATATATATATATATATATATATATATATATATATATATATATATATATATATATATATATATATATATATATATATATATATATATATATATATATATATAATATATATATATATATATATATATATATATATATATTATATATATATATATATATATATATATATATATATATATATATATATATATATATATATATATATATATATGTCGTACCTAGTAGCCAGAATGTACTTCTCAGCCTACTATGCAAGGCCCGATTTGCCTAATAAGCCAAGTTTTCCTGAATTAATATATTTTCTCTAATTTTTTTCTTATGAAATGATAAAGCTACCCATTTCATTATGTATGAGGTCAATTTTTTTTTATTGGAGTTAAAATTAACGCAGATATATGACCGAACCTAACCAACCCTACCTAACCTAACCTAACCTATCTTTATAGGTTAGGTTAGGTTAGGTAGCCGAAAAAATTAGGTTAGGTTAGGTTAGGTAGGTTAGGTAGTCGAAAAACAATTATTTAATGAAAACTTGGCTTATTAGGCAAATCAGGCCTTGCATAGTAGTCTGAAAAGTGCATTCTGGCTAATAGGTACGACATATATATATATATATATATATATATATGTCGTACCTAGTAGCCAGAACTCACTTCTCAGCCTACTATGCAAGGCCCGATTTGCCTAATAAGCTAAGTTTTCATGAATTAATTGTTTTTCGACTATCTAACCTACCTAACCTAACCTAACCTAACTTTTTCGGCTACCTAAACCAACCTAACCTATAAAGATAGGTTAGGTTAGGTTAGGTAGGGTTGGTTAGGTTCGGTCATATATCTACGTTAATTTTAACTGCAATAAAAAAAAATTGACCTCATACATAATGAAATGGGTAGCTTTATCATTTCATAAGAAAAAAAATAGAGAAAATATATTAATTCAGGAAAACTTGGCTTATTAGGCAAATCGGGCCTTGAATAGTAGGCCGAGAAGTGCGTTCTGGCTACTAGGTACGACATATATATATATATATATATATATATATATATATATATATATATATATATATATGTCGTACCTAGTAGCCAGAATGCACTTCTATGCCTACTATGCAAGGCCTGATTTACCTAATAAGCCAAGTTTTATGAATTAATTGGTTTTCGACTACCTAACCTACCTAACCTAACCTAACCTAACTTTTTCAGCTACCTAACCTAACCTAACCTATAAAGATAGGTTAGGTTAGGTTAGGTAGGGTTGGTTAGGTTCGGTCATATATCTACGTTATTTTTAACTCCAATAAAAAAAAATTGACCTCATACGTAATGAAATGGGTAGCTTTATCATTTCATAAGAAAAAAATTAGGGAAAATATATTAATTCGGGAAAACTTGGCTTATTAGGCAAATCGGGCCTTGCATAGTAGGCCGAGAAGTGCGTTCTGGCTACTAGGTACGACATATATATATATATATGTGTGTATATCATGAAAATAAATACGTGATTAAGAATGTGACAATGTCAGACCACGGAGGAAAATGAAACAGGAATTTCCTTAGGTACTTTCGTATATTAAATACATCTTCAGAAGGAAAGATTCCTTCTGAAGATGTATTTAATATACGAAAGTACTTAAGGAAATTCCTGTTTCATTTTCCTCCGTGGTCTGACATTGTCATATATATATATATATATATATATATATATATATATATATATATATATATATATATATATATATTAGTATATTTTGGTAGCAGTCTTTCCTGTAGACATATATTATTAAATATGACCGAAAAAGTAAGATTAATAATTCTAACACGAATTTTCTCAATCTTTCGTACATTACGCTTCACTGTTGGAGGTAAATAAAAAATCACTTCTCCAAAATTCATTTTTATTTCTAGTCTGACGCGACACGGGCGCGTTTCGTAAAACTTATTACATTTTCAAAGACTTCACAAATACACAACTGATTAGAACTTATGTATCTCTGATTTTATATCTACATTTGAGTGAGGTGGGAGGGGTGATGTGGCATTAACACAAGACAGAACAAGAGGGGATATTAATAGGGTATTAAAAGTATCAACACAAGACAGAACAGAAACAATGGGTATTGAATAGAAGTGTTTGTAGAAAGCCTATTGGTCCATATTTCTTGATGCTTCTATATTGGAGCGGAGTCTTGAGGTGGGTAGAATATAGTTGTGCAATAATTGGCTGTTGATTGCTGGTGTTGACTTCTTGATGTGTAGTGCCTCGCAAACGTCAAGCCGCCTGCTATCGCTGTATCTATCGATGATTTCTGTGTTGTTTACTAGGATTTCTCTGGCGATGGTTTGGTTATGGGAAGAGATTATATGTTCCTTAATGGAGCCCTGTTGCTTATGCATCGTTAAACGC